CTTCCCTTCCTCTTTTTTTATGATTTACAAACCCTAATAAAACTTCTATAATCTCCCACCGTCGTGAAGTTTTTTGTTTGAAAAGCTTTAAAGATCCCCACTGCCTACAGAAAAAAATATAAACTCAAACCATAATGAGAGTCCAAAATAATCTGGTGTCAATCTATGTTTCTGATCTTGTTATTGGGTAGGACAGATTTTTTTTTCATATTAAGGTTGCTTGATCATGAGATAATCAAAGTCTGATATACGGTACAGAACAGGGAATGAATGCAGGAAACGGGTAGGCTGTGAAGGGGGGTTCAAAGGGAGAAAGCAGCCTGGAGTTTGACAAGTGCAGGCCTGCTAACTTGCCCCCAAGCAGCTTAAAAGAAGGCCGACTGAAGACAAATATATGAATTGTAAAGAGAAAACTGGCAAAAGCAGGATTTTTCTGTTTTAATCATTCCACAATCAACTCAGGCCCAAGACTTCAACTTTCGAGAATTAGGGTACATCCCAGCGGTAATGATTCACTACTGTGATTCATAAAATGGCAGAAAATGAAGAAGTGCAAGGATATGTTCAGCCCGAGGGCTCTCTGCGGAACCACAACAAGAACTTAAATGAAGTTCAGTAAGCAAGCAACATATTCTTTACGGAAAAGAAGTATTAATGCGTAACAAGACGAGAGAACTTGTGACTATGTGAAGAGTGCCCCCAATTTTCGCAGGTCTCTTACCAAAGACACTGAGAAGAACGGTCAACAATCATGAAAGGACAGCAGAAGCAGGCAGACAGGAACGTTTCCCAAGTTCATGCTTAAATTGAGACATTTCCCTCGGCTGCTGTTGCCAAGCTTTCCAATTACAATTTTGCGATCTTTCCTGGAACCAGTGGTATTTTAAATATTAAATGGTGGTATTAAAAACCAGAATTGCCAAAGGAGGAATGACACAAAACACGTATCGGTGATAGATGGGAATAATCTCAAAGGAATGTTTAAGTAAACTTGAACGCCCTTTACCTTTACTGGAATCTCTCACGGATCACAAAACGGAACTGAAGAGGGACAGCGGTCCTGGGCAGCTAACTGAGCATCGCCCCTGCTAAGCTAAACACCTTCTCCCTCTCACTCCAGGAAAAAAGTTGAGTCCTCATTCTTCCATGACATCACTAAACACAGAAAGTGGGCTCCTACCTAGTAAGTGCTGTCCTGACTATAATCTCTCAACCTCTCTCCTTTCAATCAGTGAGGTATGTTATTATTATTTTTAAAAGAATTTATTTATTTGAGAGAGTGAGAGAGTGTAAGTGGGGGGAGGGGCACGGGGAGCAGAGGGACAAGCAGGATCCTTGCTGAGCAGGGAGCCAGATGCCCAGCTCGATCCCAGCACCCTGGGATCATGACCTGAGCTGAAGGCAGATGCTTCACTGACTGAGCCACCCTGGTGCCCTAATCAGTGATGTATTTTAAAGTTATATATTCAGAAACATTTATAATCATGGAAGAACAAGTGACACAAGGAGAGATTAAAAACTAGCTTAACCAAAATAAATGCACCAATAACTAAATGGAATAAATCCAAAGTTGGCAGCTTTTCAGAAAAGCATGAGTAAAGTTTGTGGTTTCTATGACAGCAGATACACATGACTTATGTTTTACACAAATGTCTTTTTTTTTTTAAAAAGCTCTTTCTCTTAAAAAAAATGTAATTGCCAGATTGAAATAAAATCACTTCCTTAACACACACAGTATGTCAGGAGAACTACTGGTTTCAATGCTGGAAGGTGAAATTTCCTTAGCAAGTTTCCTAACATTCTCCGAGAACTCTGCATACCATCTGTGCACTTCTTTTTGATAATAAGAATTCTTATTTTCTTTTTAGTATTTTATTTAGCATTGGAAAAAAAAAAGGGAAGTCACTTGATATATATAGGGAGAGGAGAAGTCACGTTGAGCAACAGACATCTGGGACAAGTTGTGGCTTTGTGAATCTCAGACTCTGATTCTATATGCGTAAACCAAACATTCACAAATAATTTTAATATCCTCCTTTATAATTATCCTTATCTAAAGTGTACTATATTAAATATTTCATTTAAAAAACATGGTTTTCTGGAAAAAGTCAGAAAGAAAATATTCATTAAATTCAAAATAAGCACCACCATTATTGTATAACATAAAGGAAAACTGGCCATGAGTATCACTGATACTAATCATTGTAAGCAAATATAGTATCATCTAATTATGGTAGAATAATAATGAATAACCAAATTGATAAGAAGATTTATCAGATTTGTGTTCATGGTAGGTCAACACTGGCTGAATTACTCACTGTAAAAGTGAAATTTCAATTGGCTCAGAGGAATTCATTAGTGGGATTATTTAAATGCTAAACTCTGGGAATTATATTCCAAATACTGTGCAATTCTACTTACTCTTCTCAAACAAGAGATTTTTAGGTTAAAAATTTGTGATTGGGGGGGCGCCTGGGTGGCTCAGTTGTTAAGTGTCTGCCTTCGGCTCAGGTCAGGATCACAGAGTCCTGGGATCGAGCCCCGCGTCGGGCTCCCTGCTCAGCGGGAAGCCTGCTTCTCCCTCTCCCACTCCCCTTGCTTGTGTTCTCTCTCTTGCTGTGTCTCTCTCTGTCAAATAAATAAATAAAGTCTTTTAAAAAAAAAATTTGTGATTGGGGTACTTGGGTGGCTCAGTGAGTTGAGCATCTGACTCTTGATTTCTTCTTAGGTTATGATCTCAGGGTTGTGAGATTAGGTTCTCTGTGGGCTCCACGCTGAGCATGGAGCCTGCTTAAGATCTCTCTCCCTCCCTCTGCCCTACCTCCACCCCATCTAAAAAAAAAAAATTGTTACACTTCTAATTCTTAAAAAAAATTTCAGCAATTCCATATATATCACGCAGTGCTCATCACAAGAAACCTGAAACTAATATAACACTGTATGTTAACTATATCGTAATTAAAATAAAAGTTTAATTTTTTAAAAAAAGCAAAAAAAACCCAAGCACCTACCTGTTAAGCATGTGTACTGGACAATAACTGGGACCACGACACACATATTTTAGATTTTAAAAAGACTACAGAGAGATGAAAAAAATGCAACTTCCAACTCTACAGCACTGAATGCCACAAAATGAAACTTTCTAAGGTGATAGCAATTACTTCATTTACAACCAGGAGTCCGAAAACAATAGAGAAATAAAATGAAATGTCTCTCTTTTTTTAAGATTTTATTTATTTGTCAGAGAGAGAGAATGAACACAAGCAGGATAACCATAAGGCAGAGCAAGCAGAGGGAGAAGCAGACTCCCCACTGAGCAGGAAGCCCTGATGCAGGACTCGAACCCAGGACCCTGGGATCATGACCTGAGCCGAAGGCAACCACTTAACCAACTGAGCCACCCAGGCGCTCCTAAAATGAAACGTCTTAAAACAAATGTCACATAATGAATTATTAAAGACGGGTTTGCTCAAATTTTTAAAAAATTTTTATTTATTTGACAGAGAGTGAAAGAGCACAAGCAGGGGGAGCAGCAGAAAGGGAGGGAGAAACAGACTCCCCGCTGAGCAGGGAGACCGAAGTGGGGCTTGATCCCAGGACCGTGAGATCATGACCTGAGCCCAAGGCAGACGCCTAACCATCCAAGTCACCCAGATGCCCCATTTCTCAAATTCTTGAATGCTTTAGGAAAATACCCAAAACGGAGCTCAAAAGACCATTCATTGCCAAGGGAAACAAAATGTATCATGAAAGAAATAGTAGACTGTCATGCTGCTCTCACTATGAAAGCAATGAGCTATCTATTTATTATCTGCAGGCTGGGGAAGTAGCCGTTTATCAAGGTGGTGCCCAAGTGGAAGAAGATTAGGCTGGGGAGAGCCTGGTGAAAGTGCCCTACAGCCTCGGTCTGACCCCCCCACTGTCACCAAGTCACTTTGAGTCTTAGGAACACTAAGTGGCTTGGATGGTTTGAAGAGCACATAATGGAGGACACCTCTGTGGTCCTGAAGGCCAATCAGATATCTGATCAGAATGGGGGCTGGCAGCTTGGGGAATGGACTAAGTTGTACATGAAAGAATGAACACAGAAAAGAAATTATACAGAGCACGTAAAGGAAGGAGAGAAGTGAGCAGGCCCGAACTACCGACACGGGGCCCCAGTCCCTCTCACCAGGAAACAAGAGTAAGTTGTGGTTACTCACTCAGTGTCTGCAGGGGAGGGCACGGTTATTTCCAAATCCTTCCCCTGCGACGTTATACACACCACCATGAATCCCTTCTGCAGTTTTCTTAGTCTTTCCCAAGGAAGAAATTAAAACGATATTCCATACACACGAATTATAAACTTATTTTTATATAAGTTTGGGAGTGCAAATTTAAGTCATAAATGCAAAATAAAGCTCAACTTCATGTCTTAGATTTCTTTTTAAATATCTCATACACTCATTAGAGGTTAACACAAATGCTTAATAAAATAATATAGTGTAATTTAAAAGAGCAGCATGGGGGATGGGTGGGAGGAAGACATTCTAGCGCACCGGTGAGGCTGCCGCCCAGCCCATCTGCTCAGCCCCCCTGCCCTCCCTGGCCACACACCCGACAATTCTCCTGCCACTTCCAGGCCCCTTGACTTTCCATTTCGTCTTATTTTCCCCCTTGCACGATAGTGTCTCTTTACAAAACAAGGAGAATATCTCTCGTTATTTTTAGTAAGTCCAACTTCATTTTTTGGGTTTTTTTTTCCTACTATGAGTTCGACTATTAAGGTGATTTTTAAAAACACTAACAAGAAACTCAGCTACAACTTTCACCAAAATTACCTTGAAAATGGAGACAAACTGGCCCCTTTGCATTAATAAGGGAGCAGCACGAGACAGAACTGACATAGTTAAATGAAATTTGGAGACAACTGAATGTGACCCAAATCCAAACATGACTTTTTTCCTAAAAAGTTGCTTCAGAAAAGTGAGAGCAGTAGGGGGAGGGGAAATCACACTTACAAGTCCACTTATGGCTACAATCCAGATGTAGGAACCAGAGGTGAAAAGCTATAAAAGAAAAAAAAAAGGCAACTAAAAATGAAATTCAACCGCCAGTCACAGCATATTTTTGCTTTATAGAACTACAGTGATAACCACTGACATATGAATCATGTATCTCTTAATATAAACAAGAAAATTAATAAATATCAATTTTCTCGCCCAAAAGAAAATAATACATTATTTTTTTCTTCTTTTAACCAAGCTCTCAGCCTTCCCATAGCCAAAAATAGATTGGCTGAATCTGGTCCACTCCCATGCAAAGAAAAATAAGTGAAATTCAAGCAGATTCTTCTTTACAAATGGACATTAATTGACTTAGAGTAAAATAGCACATACAAAGAAATTATCACAAAATATGCAGTCAAGCGTCCCATGCTTGGTGTTGAGTCATGACAAGTAATGTAGTTTACATCATTCTCTCATGTTAATTTCTCATCCCTGCAACCCTAAAGTGAGCCAAGCAGACTTCTGCACGGAGGCAGGGCCATGCCCAGTGGTGCTCTGCTGACGCTCTCATTCTAGCTAATTCAGAGAGGTTCACCAACTGTTACTTAGCAAACTAAATAATGGTATCAAAGTTAATTAATGCAGAAGTAATTAGATTAGGTTTCATAAAATCTCTCGCTTTGTTTTCTAAATCATTTACACATGAGAGTTGTGCTTGGGGTAAAGAAAAAAAAAATCGTAAGACATTCAAAGTGTTCCTGAAAGAAAAAGATCTGGAGCCTACTGTTTGCTCATATTTAGATCTTTAGTCGGGAGTATAAGGACTTCTGCTCCTAGAGAAAGAAGCAGGCCCAGAGGTTAACTGCAGATACTGCACTAGACGAAAACCTCGAAGTTCTGCACATTTATCAAGGATATGTATAAAAAGAACCATGAAAAGAAGGCAGATACAAAGGCAAGAGATGACAAAGCACGAGAAGAAAGAGGCTGACAAATTTTGTTCTTAGTGCTACCTCACGTAGAAAGGAGCACTGGCTGCAAATACAAATTTAATCCTTGATCTAAAATTTAATCATTTTTAAAGAAAAGGTGGTGTATAGATATATAATGGAATATTACTCAGCTGTCAAAAATGAAATCTATTATTATTATTATTATTAACATATAATATATTATTTGTTTCTGGGGAACAGGTCTGTGATTCACCAGTCTTACACAATTCACAGTGCTCCCAGTAGCACATACCCTCCCCAGTGTCCATCACCCAGCCACACCATCCCTCCCATCTCCCTCCCCTCCAGCAATCCTCAGTTTGTTTCCTGAAATTAAGAGTCTCTTATAGCTTGTCTCCATCTCTGGTTTCCACTTGTTTCATTTTTTCCTCTCTTCCCCTGTGATCCTCTGCCTTGTTTCTCAAATTCTACATATGAGTGAGATCATAACTGTCCTTCTCTCATTGACTTATTTCACTCAGCATAATACCCTCTAGTTCCATCCATGTTGTTGCAAATGACAAAATTTCATTTTGTTGATGGCTGTGTAATACTCCATTGTATAGTATATACCTCACCTTCTTTATCCATTTATCTGTTGATGGACATCTGGGCTCTTTCCATAGTTTGGCTATTGTGGACATTGCTGCTATAAACATTCGGGTGCACGTGCCCCTTCGGATCACTACATTTGTATCTTTGGGGTAAGTACCCAGTAGTGTAATTGCTGGGTCATAGGGTAGCTCTATTTTCAGCTTTCTGAGGAACCTCTAGAGTTTTCCAGAGTGGCTGCATCAGCTTGCATTCCCACCAACAGTGTAGGAGGGTTCCCCTTTCTCTGCATCTTCGCCAGCATCTGTCATTTCCTGACTTGTTAATTTTAGCCATTCTGACTGGTGTGAGGTGATATCTCATTGTGGTTTTGATTTGTATTTCCCTGATGCTAAGTGATGTGGAGTACTTTTTCATGTGTCTGTTGGTCATGTGGATGTCTTCTTTGCAGAAATATCTGTTCATATCTTCTGCCCATTTCTTGATTGGATTATTTGTTCCTTGGGTGTTCAGTTTGATAAATTCTCTATAGATTTTTAGATACTAGCCCTTTATCTGATATGTCATTTGCAAAAAAAAATGAAATCTTGCTATCCGCAATGACATGAATGGAACTAGAGGGTATTATACTAAGCAAAATAAATCAAATCATGGAAAGACAATTATATGATTTCATTCATATGTGGAATTTAAGAAACAAAACAGAGGAACATAAAGGAAAGGAGGGAAAAAAAAAACAAGACATAATTGGAGAGGAAGACAAACCATAAAAGACTATTAACCACAGGCAACAAACTGAGGGCTGCTGGAGAGGAGGGGGGTGGGGGGATGGCATAACTGGGTGATGGGCATTAAGGAGGGTACGTGATGTAATGAATACTGGGTGTTATATACAACTGATGAATCACTGAACTCTACCTTTAAAACTAATAATACGCTCTATGTTAATTTAATTTAAATTTTAAAAAATCAACCCTTTTACCTAACATGGATGCTTGCTGAGTATATACGACTCTGAAAATAACAAGGATGAGAATAATGTGGACAAACAGTTTTCTGTAGCCTTATTCTAAAAGTATAAGGAATAATAAAATAGCTAACACTTTCTTTTTGTTGTTTTGTTTCATTTTTGTTTTCAGCTAACACTTCCATGACACTTACTATGTGCCAAGCAGTGATCTTAACGCTTTTCATATATTGAACAGAATCCTCCTAAACCCCCTACAAAGTAAGTTCTATTATGAACTCTATTTTAATCATGCAAACTGAGGTTAAGCGATTTGCTCAAGATCAGAGAGCTGGTGGGTGATGGCGCTGGGACTGTACCCATGCGGTCAGCCTCTGCAGCCCAGTGCTCGTGACCTCCATGTTTCCTACACAAGCAGGAAGAGCACATCATTAATTTCATCCATAAAAAGTTATTTCCATTGGACTCTTAAGTCCCTCATCTTATTGCATGTTTGGCCCCAATTGTGTCTGCTCGTGTTTTTAACAGTGTGTATGTCTTTTTCTCATTGCCGGGTTCCTTGAGGTCAGGTGCTACAACTCATTTCATGCTCCACAGCCCCTGGTTTCTCAAGCCATTAGATATCTTCCCAAACATTTCTGTTCTTCTGATAATAATTAAAATCACTCAATCATTCACTCATTCCCTCCTTCATTCATCCAATGTCCCTGGCATCAAAAAGCTGTTATGTAGGAGAAAGAAAGGCACAGGAACATGTGTGAAGGTCCGGGGAGGGAAAGAATAGAGACTTTGAGAATATGGGGTTCACATTCATTTCAAGGTGGGGAGGGGGTGGGAGTAGGTACTAGACAGGCAGAAAGAACCCTGGAGGCCACTCATGCTAAGAATTTCAGATGTTATCAAGATGCCAAAGAGGCATCTCCACCCCCACTTTCTGATACCAGCTTCTACCTCACCAATAAATAAATAAATAAATAAATAAATAAATAAATAAATAAAATTCACAATCTCAGAAAAACCAACAGTGGCAGCTAGAGAGTCATGAATTAGTTAATAACAGGAACCTACTGACTTAGTTCTTACTATCTGTTTGGATTACCCTAACTATCTCTAATCCTTCCAGTGACCTAGTAAGACACACAGGGTTATTAGCCCTTTACAGATGGGCACATGGGAGCACAGAAAAGTAATCAAGCAAACCACTACCAGAGCGAGCAATCAAACCAAAATGCACTTGGCACCAAAGACTTTCCACAGTACCACTCAATTCCCATGTCATAACAAATAAAACAACATTTTTCATTCTCTAAAGCTCTGTAACTTCAGAGTTGGCGGGAACTAGAGGGTCAACATGAGGCTCAACTTGACCTAAGGTCCAGGCTACTGGGTGCCATGCTAGAACTAGAACTTGGGTGTCCTGCCCCTCGTCCAGAGGACTCCGCTACCGCTGCCTTCTGCCTTCTGCTATAACATCTTCTCAGAAAGTAACCAAGCCACAGCAAATCCTAGTAATAAGAATGAACTGCAGAAAGAGGCTATTAGGTGACATGAGCACTTGGAAGGATAAGGGAGAGTTAACGGCATGCAGGTTGAGAGACGAAAAATAAACATTTCATGAGAAACAGTTGTAAAAGTGGCGAGGAAACACCCACCCCAGATGAGCCATCGATAACACCTGACAGCGCACTAGACGAGTTGGAGGAAATACCAAAGGTTAAAAGGGGAGGGAGGAGGGCATTTGACAGAGACGTTAGTATCCGGTTTGATATGTGTGGGATAAGGAATGTTATGAGTATTCACAGTGGATCAAAAGGCCAAGCTACACATGGTACCACAGGAAACAGCAGAATAAAAGTTCACATCAAAAGCTCTGAGAGTGAAAGGAAAGTGACAAGTATCACAGGTAGAAAATGAAAATCACGTATCTTCTGTCACTTGGCCTGGAACTTGGCAGGGATAGGTCGATGGCACTGGGTATTGGTGAACAGAACCTTTTTCAATTTAAATCAAACAGTAAGAACTCTTCACAGTCTTCGTGTCAAACCACCTAGCAGATGGTCAGAGCGCCATCGTGCCCATGCGGCGCGGGAGTCATAAAGCGGGGAGGGCATACCTGGTTTCTTCTTCAGAGCTTTCATTGTGACGCTGTACTCAATAAAGTAATTTTGACAGTGATTTTCCACTTTCTACCTTTCAACTGTTCTCATTTGTTTCCACTTCATACTGTGATTTTGAAAAGTACTTACACGGAATTACACAATGCCATTAAAATATTTTCCACTGATACAAATTACAGTGAAAGCTCTTATCAGATTTCTAAAGACTGTGAAAGTATTCTAGTACTTTATATACCTTGATGTTCTTGTTCTGTAACACTTCCTTTGAACATCTGATATAGATCATAAAGCCAAACTAATGGGAAAAAAAAAACCACTGTTTTTAAGGACATCAAATGAGAAACAGATCCCTCCCCCCAAAAAAGATCTGGTTAAAGAGATGTGAACATAAAAATGCATACTGTACCTGTAGTCCCAATATGTAAATCAATGTCTTGTTTGTGATGGACAACGGGCCCAAAATTTGTGCGACTTGGATTCTTGGTATGGAGCAGTAAAACGGTACAAACAGAGCAAAGACAGGTGCCAGGCTACACAAACAAATAAAAAAAAATAATCACTCTAGTCATACTCAATTTAAAATACCAAGAGCAAATAGATACTTGAAGTAATACTGGTTATAATTTTATTTCTGTCTGAAAGCATGGTCTCAGATATAGAAGGTTTCTACACTTGCATCACATTGAAAATAATTTGTACTTATAGATATCATTTTTATGAAAACTCTAATTATCTAATACTTACTGACTTTCCCAAAACTACTGCAAAGTGGCTCAGCATCTACTAATTAACTGTCAGGCATTGTGAGAAAATTTAAGGTTGCTGCTATGTTTTCTTTCCACGAATGACTTAAATCTAATGAAAGGGTCTGTAACAAAAGCAACAAACATCATTCACCACGGTCACATCCCAAGACTCATCCCACGCTGTCCAACTTGATCACCGTAGCATCTGACATGCTTACCACCCTTGCCTTCCCTTCCTCAAACCCCTTCTTCCCCCTGCCTTAAAACCTGTTCTTGGGCACCTGGGTGGCTCAGTCGGTTAAGCGACTGCCTTCAGCTCAGGTCATAATCCCGGAGTCCTGGGATAGAGTCCCGAATCGGGCTCCCAGCTCAGCAGTGAGTCTGCTTCTCCCTGACCCCCACACCCCACTCATGCTCTCTCTTACTCGCTCTCTCTCAAACAAATAAACAAAATCTTAAAATAAAAATATGTTCTTGCTGGTCCCCTAGACTTCTCCTGCCACTCTTCTTCTACCCTCTCCAAGGCCCCACTAGGGCTCTCCTTGCTCTAGTGTCTCCCTGCATCGCCCCAAGCCCTTCTCCGGCGTTGACTGTGAGATGGAAGTGAGTTCCCAAACTGTCTGCCTGTCTCTCCCCTCATTATGAAACTCAATTTGATACCTTCAACTTGACTGATCCAAAAGTCGCAAGTGTCTTTCTAATTAAAGTCTTATTTCTTTTTAATCCATCTCTAAACCCCGATGACACACAAAACACTACTCTGATCATGTCACATGCCTGTTTAAAACCCATCCTTCCACAGGCTCCCAGGATCCAAAGAGGAAATGTAAATATAAGCATGAAATAGCAAAGCCCTCCAGTCCTTTCTTATTAGTGTAGTCTCCCACACCTGTCCTCCGCTCCCTTCCCCCAATTTGGCCCCTCCCCCCACCTTTACTGCCTAAGCCTCTCCCTGGGCACATTAGGCTCTTTTAACTATTCACGGACACAAGTTATTCTTCCAACCTAAATGTCCTTCCCACTTTTCTGCCTAGGAAATACCTACGGTGTATGACAGCTCAATTCTGTCCCACAGGCATCACCCCAACTCCTCTGGGTGGCCAGAAGCTCCCTTCTTTGCCCTAAAGCCACCACAGTGTCACCGTCAGAGCAAATCAGTGAGTCCCTGGGCACTGTCTGCAAGGTGGCAGCCCAAGTTCAGGAGCTCATCTACGTCCATGCGCCAGGAGCAGTCTCTGATCTCAAGAAACCAGCTCCAGGACCACACACTCAACGTTCCTGCCACGACCAGGCAGGCAGCAGGAATGAGGAGATCGGTCTGGACACACACTTGCACCAACTCTTCATTTGACACTCGGCTTCATGACTCAATCTCTCTTTCATTTTCCCTTGTTTATTTATTTATTTATTTCTGGTAAGGGGCACCAGTACATCTTCATCGTAAGAAAAATGCAAGAAAGATTCTTACTCCCATTTTTGTGGAAACACAAGACCCTCTTGTGCAAAATGTTCCCTCCTTTGATAAGGAATGTGTTATTAAAAAATCACTCCCTGTCCTCTCAATTCTGCTTCTAAAAACAAAACGAGAGCAAACATACACTACAAAGGTGAAAAATGGCAGCAGTATCAGTAGCATCTGTACGAACGCAGCAAATACCAGAATAGGGAAAACCCCAACCGGCAAACACCGAAGTGCCAGACGCTGGGTAAGGACTGGAGACCCAGACGTGTGAGATGCAATCTTTCTCAGTTTTGCACGAGAGACAGGGACAGGGCAGCCGAGGTATGTACCCAGCACGCCGGTTCGGCCTCACATGCCTCACTCAGCTGGCCCTCCTCCGAGGCTGAGCAGCGAGCAGAGCAGGGAAGGAAATGCATTCTCTTGGGCCCTCTGGCATGGGGGTGCTCATTTAATGTGGGGCAATAAAATAATCCTTATTCTTGAAGAGGTGTATGGTCAGATTTTTTTTTCCCCCAAAATGGGATAGTACTTATGAGCAGAGCCTAGTGGCTGTAAGTCTAATCTTGTTATTTATTTTTAATTGAAGCAAAATTAACATACAGTATTATGTTAGTTTCAGGTGTACACTATAGGGATTCAATGCTCCTGTACATTACTCTGTGCTCGTCACAATAAATGTACTATTGTTCTTCCTAGGGTTAGGGTTAGAGTTAGTCTTAGGGGTAGGGTTAGGGTATGCGCCTTGTGTCCTGCAGTTCAGATACCTCTCCAGAGAATAAAATCCCAGACTTCTGCTGAGGTGAGAATAGTCTGTGGCATCCATCCACCCAGCTGAGAAAAGGAAGGTTAAATAGATACTCAGTTGGTCCTTCTGTTTTCATGTCTACCTTCACACCCATTTTTCAGATATACTACCAATTCTTAACTGTTCCAGTGCTTCTCCAGGATAACTAGGTTGCTTCTCAGTTTTTCTTATGGTTTGTTCCAGAAGTCACTTTCTTAGCTCTTGGGAGAGGTGGTTTGGGGTTAGGGTTAGTGGTTAGGGTGTGTGCCTGGTATCCTGCATTTTGGAGACCTCTCCAGAGGCTTATGGTTAGTTCAGTATTAGCCTTAGGGTCAGGCGTTAGATGTCAAGATTGTGCCTAGCATCCTACGGTTCAGAGACCTCTCCAGAGATTAAAACCCCAGACTTTTACTGGGGTAGGAACAGACATGGCAGCCATCTACTGATCTGAGGCAAGGAGGCAATCTGGTACTCTAAATACTCTTTGAATGGCTATTTGATTGGTCCTTCCGTTTTTATCTCTACCTTCACACCCAATAAAGGTGCTCTTAATCTGTTTCACCCAACCCCAGACCCACCATCCCTACAGCAACCACCTGCCTGTTCTCTGAATTTAAGAGTCTCTTTTTCCAACATTTGTCCATCAGTCATCTGAAAATCATTTTTCCCACTTAAAATATCTTTACTTAATCTTCATTTTTGAATGATGATTTTGGTAATTTAATTTTTAAGTTTTTTATTATGTTCAGTTAGATGTTGGAAAATATGTACAGGTTGCAAGCATTATCTATGTCATAATAGTAGTTGATTAACTTTGCTTTTAGAAGTAAAAAAAATTAAGAATCTCTTTTTTCATTGGTCTTTGTTTTCTTTGTTCATTTTGTTTAATTCTGCATATGAGTAAAATCATATGGTATTTGTCTTCCTCTAACTTATTTCACTTAGCATTGTACTCTATAGGTCTATCCATGACATTGCAAAGGGTAAGAGCTCATTCTTTTTTCATGGCTAATATTCCTGTGTGTGTGTGTGTGTGTGTGTGTGTGTGTGTGCGCGCGCGCGGCATGCAACATCTTTATCCATTCATCTATCAATGGACGCTTGTGTTGCTTCCATATCTTGGCTATTACAAATACTGTTGCAATAAACATAAGGGGTGCATTTATCTTTTTGAATTAGTGTTTTCATTTTCTCTGGGTAAGTACCCAGCAGTGGAATTAATGGATCATAGTAATTCTATTTTTAGTTTTTTAGGGAACTTCCATACTGTTTTCCACAGTAGCTGCACCAATTTGCATTCCCGCCAACAGTGCACAGGGATTCTTTTTTTTCCCACCCACTTGCCAACACTTGTTATTTCTTATCCTTTTGATTGTAGTTATTCTGACAGATGTTAAGATGATATCTCACTGAGGTTTTGATTTGCATGTTCCTAACGACCGAGCACTTTTTCATGTGTCTATTGGCTGTCTGTATGTCTTCTTTGGAAAAATGTCTGTTCAGATCCTCTGTCCATTTTTTAATCAAATTATTTGTGGGTTTATTGGTGTTGTGATACAGATGTTCTTTGCATTTTTTGGATGTTAACCCCTTATCAGATAAATCATTTGCAGTATCTTCTCCCATTCAGTAGGCTGCCTTGTTGCTTTGTTGATGGTTTCCTTCACTGTGCAAAAATTCTTTATTTTGATGTAGTCCCAATAGTTTATTTTTGCTTTTGTTTTCCTTGCCTGCGGAGACATATCTAAAAAATGTTTCTATAGCCAATGTCAAAGAGATTACTGCCTATGTCTTCTTCGAGGAGGCTGATAGTTTCAGGTCTTACATATAGGTCTAATCCATTTTGAGCTTATTTTTATGATCACATTTTAACCAACTATAAGGTTTTAAAAAGTCTCTCATGAGAGGAGCATCTGCGTGGCTTAGTCAGTTGACCCTCCAACTTGTGATTTCGGCTCAGGCTGTGATCTCATGGGTCGTGATCTCATGGGTTGTGAGATCGAGGAGCCCTACACAAGGCTCCGTGCTCAGTGGGGAGTCTGCTTGAGATTCTTTCCCTGTGCCCCTCTCCCACCTCTTTCTCAAATAAATAAATCTTTATTTTTTTTTAAGATTTTATTTATTTATTTGACAGACAGAGATCACAAGTAGGCAGAGAGGCAGGCAGAGAGAGAGGAGGAAGCAGGCTCCCTGTTGAGCAGAGAGCCCGATGCGGGGCTCGATCCCAGGACCCTGGGATCATGACCTGAGGCGAAGGCAGAGGCTTTAACCCACTGAGCCACCCAGGTGCCCCAAATCTTTATTTTTTTTAAGGTTTTATTTATTTATTTGATAGACACAGAGAGAGAGAACACAAGCAGGGGGAGCAGCAGAGGGAGAGGGAGAAGCAGGCTCTCTGCTGAACAGGGAGCCTGATGTGGGGCTGGATCCCAGGACTCTGGGATCATGACCCTGAGCCAAAGACAGACACTTAATCAACTGAGCCACCCACGTGCCCCATAAATAAATCTTTTAAAAATAAGGTCTCCCAATAGATTA